ATACACTATTAGAAAGCTCTCATATACACTATTAGAACGCTCTCATAAACACTATTAGAACGCTCTCATATACACTATTAGAACGCTCTTATATACACTATTAGAACGCTCTCATAAACACTATTAGAATGCTCTCATATACACTATTAGAACGCTCTCATATACACTACTAGAATGCTCTCATATACACTATTAGAAAGCTCTCATATACACTATTAGAACGCTCTCATAAACACTATTAGAACGCTCTCATATACACTATTAGAACGCTCTCATAAACACTATTAGAACGCTCTTATATACACTATTAGAACGCTCTCATAAACACTATTAGAACGCTCTCATAAACACTATTAGAACGCTCTCATATACACTATTAGAAAGCTCTCATAAACACTATTAGAACGCTCTCATATACACTATTAGAAAGCTCTCATATACACTACTAGAACGCTCTCATAAACACTATTAGAACGCTCTCATATACACTATTAGAACGCTCTCATATACACTACTAGAACGCTCTCATATACACTATTAGAAAGCTCTCATATACACTATTAGAACGCTCTCATAAACACTATTAGAACGCTCTCATATACACTATTAGAACGCTCTCATAAACACTATTAGAACGCTCTTATATACACTATTAGAACGCTCTCATAAACACTATTAGAACGCTCTCATAAACACTATTAGAACGCTCTTATATACACTATTAGAAAGCTCTCAAACACTATTAGAACGCTCTCATATACACTATTAGAAAGCTCTCATATACACTACTAGAACGCTCTCATAAACACTATTAGAACGCTCTCATAAACACTATTAGAACGCTCTCATATACACTATTAGAACGCTCTCATACACGCTACTAGAAAGCTCTCATATACACTATTAGAACGCTCTCATATACACTATTAGAACGCTCTCATATACACTATTAGAAAGCTCTCATATACACTATTAGAACGCTCTCATATACACTATTAGAAAGCTCTCATATACACTATTAGAACGCTCTCATATACACTATTAGAAAGCTCTCATATACACTACTAGAACGCTCTCATACACGCTACTAGAAAGCTCTCAAACACACTACTGGAAAGCTTTCATACACACTATTAGAAAGCTAAAATATATGGTCCCCCTCCTTTAATTTAGGCAAACATTGCTCAAATATCACCGAATCCAGATGGTTTGTTGTTGATGAAGAGAGGAATAAACACAGTTTAAGATTTGCAGCTAAATTAATTTGTTTCCATATTATGGAACTGCTATCAGGCACTTCCCATCATCTTATATCAGTAATAAAAAATTATAAATACAAATTTGGTATTTGGTGACTTGACTTTTATTTCTGTCAGGCTGAAGTGAAAAAACTTGGAAAGAGACTGATTCTCTTGGCGTTTAAAATAACAACACAAAACAGCATAAGAAAACCGCATTTATTTTTTTTATTTTACAATTTTGTAAACAACAGCGGCTGATTAAACTAAATGTCTCAACCTTGTATAATTTTACGACTTTTTATTTAACCAAGAAATGATCCGAAAGGCCTGGGAAATGATCAGATCCGCTTATGTGGCTGCAACGCGCGGCGCGCTCCCGACACAGGTGGAACAGATTTTCACATGGGAACAGAATTTCGCACAACACCGGAAAAGGATCTCTGTTGAAGCAAAAACATAAAAAATAAAGTCGAGTAATGCCCATGCTTCTGTGAGTTGTTTAGCGGATAGCTGAGCATGAATCAATAATTTTATTTGATACAATTTCGGCCGGAGATAGCACAATATGTACGGAGCTAGCCAGAATGACCTCCGTTTAAAACAACTTCCGGTGTAATGACGGTCCTTCCTGTTTCACTGAAACGCCTTCCGTTTCAACTGAAACACCTTCCGTTTCAACTGAAATCCGCTAATAGCTTTTCAGTAGTGTGTATGAGAGCTTTCTAGTAGCGTGTATGAGAGCGTTCTAATGGTGTTTATGAGAGCTTTCTAGTAGCGTGTATGAGAGCGTTCTAATAGTGTATATGAGAGCGTTCTAATAGTGTTTATGAGAGCGTTCTAGTAGTGTATATGAGAGCTTTCTAATAGTGTTTATGAGAGCGTTCTAATAGTGTTTATGAGAGCTTTCTAATAATGTATATGAGAGCGTTCTAATAGTGTATATGAGAGCTTTCTAATAGTGTTTATGAGAGCGTTCTAATAGTGTTTATGAGAGCTTTCTAATAGTGTATATGAGAGCGTTCTAATAGTGTATATGAGAGCATTCTAATAGTGTATATGAGAGCGTTCTAATAGTGTTTATGAGAGCGTTCTAATAGTGTATATGAGAGCTTTCTAATAGTGTTTATGAGAGCGTTCTAATAGTGTTTATGAGAGCTTTCTAATAATGTATATGAGAGCGTTCTAATAGTGTATATGAGAGCTTTCTAATAGTGTTTATGAGAGCGTTCTAATAGTGTTTATGAGAGCTTTCTAATAGTGTATATGAGAGCGTTCTAATAGTGTATATGAGAGCATTCTAATAGTGTATATGAGAGCGTTCTAATAGTGTTTATGAGAGCGTTCTAATAGTGTTTATGAGAGCGTTCTAATAGTGTTTATGAGAGCGTTCTAATAGTGTTTATGAGAGCGTTCTAATAGTGTATATGAGAGCGTTCTAATAGTGTATATGAGAGCGTTCTAATAGTGTTTATGAGAGCGTTCTAATAGTGTTTATGAGAGCGTTCTAATAGTGTTTATGAGAGCGTTCTAATAGTGTATATGAGAGCTTTCTAATAGTGTATATGAGAGCGTTCTAATAGTGTATATGAGAGCTTTCTAATAGTGTATATGAGAGCTTTCTAATAGTGCATATGAGAGCGTTCTAGTAGTGTATATGAGAGCTTTTTAATAGTGTATATGAAAGCTTTCTAGTAGTGTGTATGAAAGGTAAAGCTTTTCACCAGTTTATATGAACAGTTCTCACTACTTTGTATGAGAGCTTTTGAGTAGATTATATAAGAGGTCAATGTTTTCACTAGTTTATGTGAGAGCTTTTTACTAGTGTTTGTGTGAGGTTTTCAGTATATTATATGGAAGAGTGTAATTTAATATGTGTATATGCAAGTTAATTCTGATTTATGTCCCTGGGGGCACCTCATAATTTTACCTCTTTCACAAGTTTCTGATTTCTGTGTCCCCGTTTCCCTCCCTGCTGACTGAGTGCTCAAACACTCAGCAGTTCAGAGAGGGGAGGGGGAGTACAGTGACGTAACGCTATGCTGCGCCTTCAAAATAAAAGCACGCTAGTTAAAAAAATGTCAAAATCTAATATTTTGCGGTACAATTTTTGGGGGGGACATATCCACCTGGCTTTTATATTGGGGGGGACATGTCCCCCCCGTCCCCCCCGCTTCCTACGCCGCTGCCTCTGAGCCTTGCATGTTGTGATAGAAATGCAAAAATCATTTGGCCAGAAATGAGAATTAGACATTTTTCCTTAAAAGAGTTGTGAACTGTAGTCGGGCTTATCTTTGATAAGAAAATTTGTTGGTAAAGTACCAAACAAAATGTATTTTACTTATCCTGACCCTCAGGTCAACTAAATAAGGATTCCTTTCCGCTTTAAGGACTAATAACTAATGATAAATCTGTAATTCTTTAACCTGGTCAGTCCTTAAATATTACCTCTGTCATTACAGTATCTACAGCACATTTTATTTGGAAGGTCAGATTTATGAGACCACCAAAAAACTGCATAGACTCGAAAACCCTGATTGTCTTATCTCTTTTATTTGCTATTCTCATATACAGCTACCAATACTAGCTACTAAAATTCCCTAGTTATTTGCTGAAAATAAATAAATAAAATAAAGATCAATATAATGTGTATCTTTGTTCAGTTCACAGTTCAATATTTTGCTAAAGTGTAAAGGATAAAAGAAAAACATTACAGATACAGAAATGGAACACTTGAAGGCACAGTATAATGTGCAATCTACTTTTGGCATCAAGTTCCATGGGGCTCATCTTTTCTATTGGATGTTCCGTATGCTAATCTTTGTCACATGCTTGTCACATAAGTTTATGAAAAAGCAGAGGAAAGGATAAGACCAGAGTATATTTTTGAGATTCTTTCACATGAAAGTACCTAAACTGTGGAACTCTCTCCCCACTGAACTGAAACTACAGATGAATTAAAACAGTGGCTGAAGTCGCTACAGAGATGTTCCGATAAAGATGTGAATTCATAGGTGTTAAATTAATTTATATAACTGCATTTTAAACTTTCTGCTAGTGTATGTGCAGAATTAAAAAAAATTTAAGCCCCCTCTGGCCTGGTGTTGAAAATTAGCACATGCACTTGCTAACACACTTAAGCATTCCATCTGGTTTGTCCAATGTATAAAGTACGTGATGTCCATATGAAATAAATAAATAAATATATAGAATTAAAAGTAGATTGAAAATAATGAAGTGCGGGTAGGATGGCCTTATGCACATGTGGCATTTCAAGAAGTGACTAGGAGGTTCCCTACCTACATTTCCAGAAATTGCATGTGTAGTTTCATTGTTAGCACTTGCAATAAGTGGGCATGTTGCGAGTGATCTTTAATGATTGTTACGCAAATGCTTAGGTGTGCAAACCATTTTAGTTCTGTCCATTAAAATGAGGAGATTGCGTCGTCTACAGGCAGTTTTTGAGTGGCAGTAATAGGTTCAAAATCTTGCAGAAATATTGATAAATAAAACATAATTTCCACCCCTCCAATGTTTTTTGCAAACTCAATTGATTATTAAATTTTTTATGCACATTATTTTCTTTAAAGATCTTTTTCTAAGTACAGCTTTTGACCCGTTTCACTGAGGATTTATGATTGTTTTAAGGAAAATATGAAGCTTACACCAACTTGCAGTAATTAAAAGTGTGGTTTCATCCAGATATCTGACTGACGCCTATCCTCTTGTCTCTTTTGGGTGGTTTTCTGGCCATATCCTCAGTGTAAGTGAAAACGAGGCCTGGAGCCATGGGCTGGGAGGAGAGATGGCAGCCAGGATGGCACACTGACTGGAGGAGCGCCAGCTGCTCTCATTCAGGTAGGGATCCTTGCCAATTTCATCTCTGTTCACACCCTCCTTCCTGCGTATGTCTGAGTCAGTGGCCGTCACGCTGGCTGACATTCATAGTTTGTTACCCACCGAACAGAGACACTGCTTTGTTTCCATTACTTTATCAGTCACCCTTCACACGCAGAACATGATACAGAAACATAGGAAGTTAACCTCATTGGCTTGGCTGGTGAGACTGGTAAAGTTAAGTGAACTATTTTAAAAGCTATGTACAGATCCTGATTGATAGTACAGAGGCTAAAATGGATTGGGTTTCACAGATAATAGTTTTTCTTATAATGTGGATCTTTATAAGAAGTGTAAAAGCATATTTCAAACACCCGTGTAAATAATTAATATAAATCCATTAGTTTGTTTGAAAACTTCAAACCTTTTTCTCACTTTGTTGAAGTCGTCTATGGTTTATTTAGATGATAAAGGTTTACAATTCGCTTTATTGCAGTTTTTTTGTGAAGTTATCAAGATTTAGTGTAATCTAAAATGCTGCTTAGACTCCTGAGGACTCTACTTTTGATTGCTTACAATGTTACTTACCTCTTAAGACACAGCAGTATAATGTAGTAATAGGCTAAATGCCACAAAATATTCAGACTAGTAGAAATGCATTTAAAAGAAATGGAAAAATCCAAATACAAGCTGGGCAAGATGAGTAAAGAGCGTCAAACCAGCACCAGATCAATGATGCGCTTATTAGAGAAGGATTTTCTTTAAAAGGCATATTTTAATTCAAGTTTTCCTAGTTTGTGCTCAGGCTTTTGAATCCAACTTGTTTCCAGGTGTAAAAAGCAAGAACAATTTTCAGTGTCAAACAATCAGCTCCAAGAATCTAGAGGCAACATGCAGAAGAGAGATGAGAGGTTGCACTGGAAAAACGATCTAATATAAGGTAAAAACGTCTTAAATTCAGTGTATTTACCCTTAATATCAGTAGGTTAATTAGATGATTTGCCAATGGAATGGGTACTTTTACTCTTAAAATAAGATAATTAGATAAAATGCACTTGAAATAAGACAATGCAATTGTGTTTTTCTTATTTTGAATGTAAACTGTCTTGTTCCACTGGCAAAATGTCTCTTTTATCTCCTCGATTCAAGATCAAATGCACTTATTTTAAGAAAAAAAAAGACTTATCTAGATTTTGATTTTTTTCCAGTGTGAACACCAAACCTACCTTCACTAGAATACGGCTACTTAAGATGGATGCTGTTATCAAGATCTATTTTCTTTGAATTAATGGTAACTGTTGACAACTGTTAAACATTTGTTTTATAAAATAAGAAACAAAACATTCAGATTAAGACATTCAGACATAGAGCAGTCCACTGACCTGATGGATACTAAATGTATATGTGGGCGTACATTTCTCAGTTGTTAATATTTACGCACTTGGACTGATGATTTCTAAAGGGAAATACACTCACATGCAGTTTTATCAGATAAACCTTTCAAGTACAGCATTAAATCCTCAAATTCTTTCAGAAATGCAGTAGTTATTGATTGTATAGTTTCAACAAGGTCTCAGAATTTTTTCTTAGAGATTTTCTTCATATAAGCAATGGGGCCATCAGACAGTCATTGATTCATGATTGCCAATCTCTCCTTACACTACCACCCAAGTTACTGTGCCGAATTGAGATCTGATGATTCAGAAGTTCAGTTAATTGCTGTCCTCTTAAATAAAGAAACTGATATAATTTGACATGATGTAAGCTCGATGAGCATCATCCTGCTGGACAAATCCAAAATGTTGATCATAACAGAATCAACATGGTCAGCAGCTACACTCTGGGAGGTGATGAGATGCAACTAAAATGATATTAAGAAGAAACTCTACAAACCATCAGCCCATGCTGCTGATCCAAGAGAGCATTCATGTCAAACTATGGAGGTTGCAGCTAAAATAAAGACTCACATGAACAGGTTACATTTACTTATGATGTTATGCTCCAACATTGTTGTTGGGGGTTCAGATATGTTATTCCACATTATTTGACTGTAAAAAAAAAAAGGTTAAATTACAGTGATCTTTTTGTCCCCTAGATCTGCTCTTCCTTATTATCACTGATCGTCGACGTGAACATGAAACTTTCATCCACACCTTTTGGGCTATCCCCTGTAAACCTGGGATGCTTGTTCCCCATCAGTTGATCAGCATTTTCTGAAATATTAAGACCAGCTTGTCTGGCTTGAAATCATTTAAATCCTCTTTGTTCCCTTTCGTCATGCCAATTTTGAACCTTTGCTATAAATTCTTTCATAGACTGATTCGGTTTGTGAAGTTTTATTTGAGATGTTTTTTATTATTCTCTAAGCCTTTGGCTTGAGGGGTTGTGCATTAAAATAATAACTCTGATTCATGCTTAACAATAGTGTAAATCATGTGTTTTCAAAGTGATTTATTCTTAGCTTTGGAGTGCCAACATATAGTTGTTTCCTCAAATATTGAACATTGAGAAAATGCTTCAATAAGATTTGCTAGATATTTCACAGAGGGTAAATAAGTCAACACTTTGAGCAGTGCTTGCTTATTTTCATACTTGAGTAAGGCTACAGTAATCTCCACATGGAGTCTAACATGGTTTTAACACTGCCAAAGGACAGTCACTGGCTCCAAGACAGCTTGAAAACATCAGGTGTTTTATTGCTCTGGCCAAACTGCCCTCGGCTAACACACTCCAGTGTTTATATGGCTCAGCAAGAGCCAAATGATCCTCTCAACATGCAGGTCAAAAGCTATGAACTCAACAATGGGCAGTTGCCAGGGAACATGGAGAACACGGCCTGCCAATTGCAACAAGCCTGTGGCCAGACGGTGAGAGCAGAGAGTTAAGGAACAGCCAAGTGGTGTCCAGTGAGGGTCCCCCTGTTTTAGTGTTGGCCAAACAACGCCTCCGGGTGGAATGGACCATCTCAGTACAACTGGTGTGTGTATCCGAGTTTGTAAACTGGGTAATTACCAGTCAAAGCATGTCTACTCAGGCTCTTTTTGTTTTCTATTCGTTAGGAATGGCCATGGGAACATTTCAGGTTATTCCTTTTTTTTATTACCCATTTAAAGTTTTTTTCATTATTTATAATATGTCAAATAAAAAACGTATTGTACAGTACACTCTTTGCTTGATAGTACATAATAGCTGCTGATGGTCTGGAGAATACATATGTGTGGTAAGCCAGTGCCAAGCAGGAATTACCTCTGATTGGCAATAGTTTCAGTACTGCAACTTAATCTGAGGAGGTGTGTAAGACCATTTCAAAATTTTAATTCTACTTAAATTCTCTATTTGAAAACAAATGTTTTTAAGCAAAGAAAATTTTTCTCTTGTTTTCCCCAAATGAAAACATTGCCAATATTTGATGTCACAGGAAATTCAAACTGTTTGCAGACTGTGGAATATTTAGAAGATATCTAACCTAGACTCAGTCAGGATCTAAAATTTTAAAATCAGTGACATGACAGTTTAGAAAAGAAAAAGGAAAAGGTCTGATGGCAAAAATTTCACTATAACATAGCAAAAACACGGCAGAATGACTTGGACTTCATCTAAATAATGAAGCATTACACTCCGGAACAACACAGCCAAGAAAGGCTGAAAATGTTGCCTCTTTTTTTTGCTTAGTGACTGAAATAATCTAGAATAAAAAATAATGTTGTCTAAAGATTAACCTAAACCTGGTTAGCTTTTAAATCATCAAATGGGAAATCAGTTAATCTTTTGCCGGAATGGGCAGGGCAGGCCTTTAGAAGGGCTTTCTGTGAGTGGTACACAGACTGGTACTGGTAACACCTTCACCCAGTCTCTGCATACAGTACAGGTATCATTGGGCTGGATAAAACACATGCACATGCTCCTCTATGGGCAAAGCTGAATTTACAGCCAAGTCCACTTACAGACCATGAGAGGATAAACACTCAATTTGGCCAAATACACAAAGACTCGGCCAAAACTATCCCCAGTCCTTTCACGGCCAAAGGCATTTGCAGCCCAGTCCTGCTCAGCAGGGAATAATCTTGTTTAGCTTTCCACTTCTCTGGAACAATCCTTCAGAGGCAGAAACCAGAAAGTAGTAGAAGGAGGGGGTGATGAAAAGCTGGACAATCAAATATCACAGTGTTTAACACTTTATTTTTAATCCCTACCGATCCCATTCTGCCACTGTTAATTGCTGCAGTGCTACCTGCCACTAGTGATTTCTGAAATGACTTCTGAATTGAAGCATATGGATGAGGAGCCGCTCAGGGAGCTACGAGCGACTTGAGGAAGGGTCCCATTAAATAAGAGCTAGCTAATTACGTTGTCCTCACTTTTTTGTCCTGCACTATCCGAGTCCTCCCTGCCATTCATATATCTTTTTGTAATGAGTTAAGCCAGGGCCTGGCACCTGCGCTTGGTAATTAAACATATAAATTCTCCCCTCACAGAAATATGTGGACTCACCAGGATTGATTTATAGGGCTTTGTAAATTACACCATTGAGCTTATTTTCTCTGGCTGTGTTCTTTCTAAGGGGCTGGAATAGAATTAGACCGTTTTAACCTCCTCAGTGCAAGAAAGTCTTTTAAAAAATATATTAGTTAGATTTGCCTTTTTTCAAGTGTAACTGTGAAGTTGATGATTGTAAAACTTGTTGGCACCCCACAGCATTGAGGAATGAGAGGTTACACCTCAACAGCAAAGTAAATCCTTCTAAAATATATCAGTTAATTTGGTTCCAAGGATCACAAGTCAAAGGCACGTTTGTGGTTCCTTCTTGTTAAGATTTTTACTATATTTCATTCACTTTTCTGTTTTCTTTAAGTTATTCTATTTTTTAATTATATATTCTATCAGACTTTGAATGCATACTGACATCACAATACTATCAGTTTTGAATATTCACTGAGGTTAGAAGACATGAGTTTTCTGAGAAAGATTTTTATGCACTTTTATTCTTTGTAAAAGATATGAAACAAAAACGAAAGATATTT